GAACCAACGACCATGAGATTGTACAACGAGTTCAGCTGTTAAAGGTCCACACAGGATACCTGGAATCGTGGCTAACGTGTTTGAGATTGCAAATGTTAATCCTGCATGATTTGGAGCAACTTCAGTATGGTTAGAGAGATGACCTGCAGAATTACAGGCACATAGACCCATTGATATGGATACAAATATCACGGCGTATAATAAACTATTAACTGTACAAAAACATATTAAGAAAATTCCTGGCCCAAAAAGACCAACAAAGGTCATAATTCGTCTAACAGAAAGTATAGACCAATTTCTCGCGATTAACCAATCAGCTAGATGACCTGAAACTGTAAAGAAAGTGAAAAGAGGAAATCAAAAATTAGTTTCTTTCATATGATATGAAACGAGTTGACACTTACCAACTCCAAACAAGGAATTAACTATATATGGTACAGCTGTTAGACTGACTGATTCTTTATTAGCACCGAGATATCGTGAAAGATATGTAGGTAACCATTGCATTATAATGTAATTGGACCAGTTCATTGCAAAATGGGCTATATAAATAGCCCATAGAGACCAATGGCAAAGAAAACGAACCCAATGAACTTGTTTGGCTCCCGTCTTTGAATAAACTAAAGGTAATTCATCTTCTTGACTCAACTTTTCTTCTTTATATACAACCATCCAAACAAACAACCAAACGATGCCAAGACTTCCAAATAGATAAAAAGAAAGTTCCCAATTTAGATGAGGACATAAAAGAGCAGCTAATGTTTGGCCAACATGACCTGCTCCAATAAGGTAACCAAAAGCTGTAGATCGCTCGTGTACCGGCACAGTTTGAGCAAAAATTGTAAATATTGTTGGGAGTCCTGAATTGAATTAGAATTGAATTAGAATCTTATAAATGTGAGCAATACATAAAATATATGAAATTGTTTGGTTGGTATGATTGAAGGAATGTATTTCTCAAATAAAGTAATTACTAACCTAATCCTTCCCCAAGTCCCAAAAGTATTCTACAGGTAATTAAAAGGTACAAATGTGGCGTAACTAGTGGTGTTAAGAGTGTGGAAATTGACCAAAGACAGACAGCCCAAGCTAAAACTTTTTTACTTCCATATCGGGTAGCTGCTCGGGCACCAATTAACTAGAGGCAAAAGATAGAATTTTAGTTCTTGAATGATTCAAATCTTGAAGAAATATGAAAGTGATAGGGCTTTTTTGATGTAAATATGAGCATACCTGACTAGTTATGTAACCAAATGCAAATGAACTAAGAATCCAACCTTGCCAATAAAGGCTCCATTTGTATTGATCAGTCATCTGAATTATGGCAATAGGCATGATAATCCGATCTGCGGAGTTGATCAAGTTTCCAATGGAACACAAGCCAACTGTTCCCCATTTCTTAACCATCATTTATCGCTTGTCAAGATCACAACGGATTAACTTTTAACAATATTTCTCACCTGAAACGTTTGTCAAAATTTTGAAAAAACATAAACATAAGACTCTAAGAAACATGAGGTGGAATTATAAAAGATAATGCAAAGACAGAAACTAGTACACTTACCCTTAATAACATTCTGATCACCATTCAATATAATGATGATTTCCCATAAATAAAATTGTAACCATTTATCAGTAATTAATAAAACAAAAACATAATACACGATCAATTAATCAGCCGGAATGGCGACCTGGCAAAATGAAATATTTCCCCCAATCCAGCCCAAACAGTCGGCATATTGCCCCATCTAGCGCTGAGAAATATAACCAATCTAATTCTTGATATTCTAGAGATTCGAATTAAATTTTCAACAATCAACATCTCAATCAAAATATTCAGTCTAATGTTGTAAAATAATTCAATTAGCTTTCTGATTTGAAGAAATTTCAATTTAAAAACTCGAACAAAGATTTGGTAAACTGGTTTTCTCCATTGTTTTGTGCAACAGTTTGTGATTATAATCATTTTGCAAATAACTTGTTAAATGGGTGAAATTATATGATTGTTGAAATTCAAGGAATCAAAACTAATGAGGGCTAATCATCTTCAAAAGCTTGAATTGCTGATCGAGTATAAGGTTTAAATATTCAATAATCAACAAACTTTGTTGAGCAAAGTTCGAATACTCGATTGTTAATCTTGATTTCAGTTGATTATAATAATTAATAAAGCATTATTAGGTTGTTTCGATTTTTGCCCTGCTAATTTAATTTTTAAGCTTGAACTTGAATTGGTTTTCTATCATAAGAAATTGTCTTTGAATTCAGTTCCTTAGATTTCGACTCTAATTATAAATTAACAGCAATAATTAGAAATATCAGTTTACCTATTAAATCGATGAATGATTGATAGTGTTGATATGGCTCGGGTTATTAACCAACTGAAATAATTGAATAATTCCTGGTGTGAGTGATCAGTTCTCGCAAAGATAAAATACTAGATCAGATGTTAATTTATTTGAATTGTTCAGTTTTCAGCATTTGAGCCATGCTCAGCTCGAGAGTGGACAGTCTGACAGTTTGTCAGTAAAGGAAGACCTAGGCAGGGTAATATTACAATCTCGACTCGAGATTCTCGAGGCATAATTATCACATTCCCTTCGATACACATCGAATGCTTAGAAAGATTCATTACAAGCAAGTTAGTTTTCTTGCATGCTAGATGGCTCTGATTTTGTCGAGATAGCCGTAAGATGGTAGGGAGGAGTCGCAGAAGCAGAATTTTCTTTTGGTCAGTAATTTTAATACAGTTGTGATATTTTTAATAATAAATTAGTTCCATGTAATCATAAATATCATATCAATTTTTCTGAGTTAATTATGCTTCGACTGCTTATCTTGGTTTATTACTTAAGCTTAAATCCTAGTTTAGGTTTAAACATTAACAATGAAGGTGAGTTGGCTATTCAGTTGCTCTGAAAAATGCTTTGTTTATTCTCTTCAAAGCACACATACTGCAGTGCTTGTATTGCTTGATTATACTCTTTATTCCCAATATTTTACTGACTTTTTCACTTTATTATTTTTTAGTAGCACAATCTGGTACCCCACCTCGGGATGTGCAAGCACGAGCATTAAGTTATACCACAGTAGTGGTTGATTGGGAGAGACCGGAACAACCTTTAGGCCAGATATCAGGATACCGTGTTTATTATACTTCAAATCCGTCCCAACCAATATCATTTTGGGACTATCTTGATGTCGATGATAGTCAATTGATAACAATTAGTGAACTTCAACGTGAAACTATTTATACCATTCGTGTCTCTGCAATAATTCAATCTCGCGGTGAAGGTCCGCTTTCACCACCAGTGCAAGTGAAAACAAAACAAGGTGTCCCAAATCAGCCTTTAGGTTTACAAGCTGTTGCTCAGGGTCCCCACTCTATCAAACTAACATGGAAGATGCCACCTAATGCTGGTGAAAACATAATTGGTTATGAATTGTATTGGAATGATACCTTTGAA